AGTAAGGCTATGACCATGCGGCAATTATCAAGCTTTATTTCATACTGCAGATTCTGAAAGTCTAAATCCATACCCAAATCCTTTGAAGAAAGGTCTGCGTACAGATGGAAACAAAAAACCTGGTTTAAAATGTTGTGAGCATGAAGACCAGCTGGCTGACTATGGACAATAACACAAGAAGATGTCTGAGAATGCACAAATATTGAAAAATAGCTGATGCAGCTAACTTGAAATGCGTCTAGCCATCTAGTTGATACAGTTTTGTTGTAACAGTGCTAATAAACTTAACAGCATCTGCAGCACAAGCAGACCTCTGTAATCCACCATCGTTATTGTTACCGGTTGCTACATGTGGGGTTTTTCCTTCTTCTTATGGTCACCACAAAGTGGCGTTTTGGCTATCCACGCTGCTTAGTGGAAAGTGGACTTTTCACCCTTTTTCATTAAATGAATTATTTCAGGTCACCAACAATTAGTGGTGGAAGGAGTACTGAAAAATCTTGCTTAAGTAAAAGTACCATTACTTGCCTAAAAATGTAGTGCGAATAAAAGTATGTTATGAATATTACTCAAAGTATGAGTAAAAAGTAGACCTTTCAAAAGTACTCAACAGCAGTGATTAGTGAGTATTATGCTATAAAAAGCTGATGCGATTACATGAAATTTGTGGATGTGTGTAAACGTAACATTCTGTAGTGCATTTAGTTATGGTCCAGCTGGCACACAACATCATAAGGCGTTAATATTAGGTTAGATTTAGGTTGTGATGTCAGGTGACCAAAATTCAATGTCTAGCCAGCATCTAAGGACAACATTAATTTGAAGTCCAATAACGATGTCAAATGATGTTGATATTTTGTTGATTTTAGGTTGTTAGAAAGTGACCAAAATTCAGCATCAAGCCAACATCTTAAACCAACCTCATATTGACATCAAATACTGACATGTATTCGTGGTGCGTCTATAGAGGCAACCTAGGTGGTCACCTAGGGTGGCAAAATAGTGAGGGCGGCAAACGCACCTCTGCAGGTTAAAGGAAAGTAGTGAAGTAAAAATACAGATACTGCACTCAAGGGAAAAGTAAAAGAACACATTTTTAAAACTACTTAGTAAATTACAATTCCTGAAAAACAACCCAATTACAGCAATTTGAGTGTTTGTAATTTGTTACTTTACACCAACTGTTGACAATTCCTGTGTTAAATGGAAAGGCCAAACTGATATTAAACTTTCACGGATTGACCTAAATCCGTAGCCTTGTGGACGGGGTCTAAGTGTGAACACTGGCATCACCATCTCAATATTGGTGTTCACCAAACAATTTAAAAAATGTCTCTCAGTCCGCTCACAAACTTCAGGCATGGAAAAATGAATGCAACCTGGACCAAAACATCTTTAATAGATGAATTGCAATTAAAAGATGTGATCATTTAAAAGAAAGACTTAGGTATTTAGGTCTCTTAAGATTGGCCAAAAAACTAGGTGTACAAAAGTCAAATTTTTTTTTTTTTTTTTTTTGGTTTAAACCAAAACTTAGCAATCAAAGCTGGAAATGCCAGCCCATTCTGTGTCTATGTTTCAAAGCTGGTGTCCAGTAGTTCCCTATAGAACAAGATCTGCACACTTTAGCTGGAACCCTGGTTTCTGCCGGTTTCATCAAGTCAAATTTAAGAGTTTTTAACACCGTTTTAAAACCATAAAGAATTAAATTTTAGACTAATACAGGGCTAAAGACTAAGAATTTTTTTACACAAGGAATTGTGTAATTGTTTTTAAGGAATTTCGTTGGGGGAATTTGCTGTAAAAAAAAATGTCTAACAGCTGTTGTGAAATGTATCTCTTTGCAACAAAAAGCTTGAATATAAAAAATAAGGTTTCATTGAGATGTGTTGTTGGTCAGTGGATGGATGTTGGCCCGACTGAGTATAGCTTCATTTATGCAACGCAAAATTAATACCCGTTTAATATTATTTAAGAGTTAATATTTCAGTGAATGTAAGTCTTTTTAAGGCCAAAAAATTTCATTTAGGAAATTTAAGACATTTTAAGACTTTTTAAAACCCAGTGGAAACCCTGCCAACCCTAATTAAACACAGCTGATAAAACTAATTAAGTGATTTAGGCTTGTTTGAAACCTACAGATACACTCAAATAAATGATTACTGCTGCTTGTTCAAACAACCCGTTTAAAATGAGATGAAACAACACAATTCTTGTATTTATTTGTTTTATGTTCAGTCCATTTAAATTTGTAAACCATTAAGTTAACTTAAGAGTTTTGTGTTGGTAATTCTCAATTAAATTGAGTTCATCCAAAAAGATTTTTTTGAGTGTCGGTATGTTGAAGCAGGGCTGGAACTAAATTCTGCAGGACTGTGGCCCTGCAGCAAGTGAATTTGACGCCCCTGTTCTAGAACATAGACATTTACTTGCTGGTGAAAGGATCTTCACAGGGCCACTGGCATTATTATAATATTTATCTCTAAAAGAAAAAAAAAATGTCTCATTTTACTTTTCCTAAAACTTCTTCCTTCTACTACTATAAAATAAGTCTAAAAATTCAATTAAAAGCACTTTATCATTGTTTGTGATTAATTTATGTTGTCAATCCACTAATGCGTTATGGGATCTTGCTCTCTAATCTATTAACTTTTGAGTGAATTTGATTAACATTTTTAGTACTTTTAAATGATATATTGTCTGAGCTGGTCACTGGTACACCCCCCACAAATCTTTCATTTAAATTAATATTTTCTATAGGATGCTATATAATATTAAATCTGTGCATAAACATTAGATTAGTCAGTACTGAAGCTATATCTAAAGCTAATCTAACAAGACAACTTATGATAACAGTCCAAAAATTAGAAGCCCAAATTTATGTTAGGGAAATATATTAAATATAATTTTTAAAAAGAGCAAAATCAAGATCAATTCATTCTAATATTTTGTTGAAATTTACGTAGTTTGTAATTATTTCCCTGGTATTTGGCATGAAATTAATTGTATTATCTTTCATTTTCTAAATATGTTTGTTGACTAAAATACAATTTTAATAAATATATCTGTTTAATAAATCATTTTTTAATGCACCAAAATACATTGCCTATATTCACTGTGAAATATACAAATACAAATATTCGTTTTTCAAATGGGGTGCACTGTTATATTGAGCACTGTATAAAATCTAAAGTTTTTCTAAAGACTAAATCTAAAGTTTTTCTAAATTTCTAAATCTAAAATCTAAAGACTTTTTACAATTGTAGTTACAAGATGTGATCATTAAAAACAGATTGCATTTTAGGATCTTTAGATTGGCAAAAAAAAAAAACAATCTTTTTTTTTATTTTATTTTTTTGGTTTGGACCAAATAAAGAAAGCAATCCAAGCTAAAAATGCCAACCCATTCTTTATAACTTATAGTGTCAATGTTTCAAAGCTGACGTCCAGTAGACGAACATAGACCTTTACTTGCTGGTGGAAGGATCTTCACAAGGCCACTGGCATTATTATAACATTTATCTCTAAAAAAAAAAAAAAAAAATGTCCGATTTCTTTTCCTAAAACTGCAGTTTTAGCTATTACTGCTGTAAAATATGTCTAAAAACTCTATTAAAAGCATTTTATGGTAGTTTTTTTTTTTTTTTTTTTTGTGAGTGTGTGTGTTTTTAATGCACCAATGCATTATGGTATTTTGCTCTCTAACCTATTAACTTTTGAGTGAGTTTCATTGACATTTTTAGTTTTAAACAATATATTACCTGAGCTGGTCACATTCAATGCTCAGTATATTTAAGTACACCCCAAACAATTATCTCATTTAAATTCATATTTTCTATAGGATGCTTAACAATATTATATTTGTGCATAAACATTAGATTAGACAGCAACAAATTTAATTCTAGAGCTAATCTAACAAAATAGTTTACAATAACAGTTCAAAGATTAGGAGCTCAAATTTATGTTAGAATAAAATACATACACACAAATATATATATATATATATATATATATATATATATATATATATATATATATATATATATATATATATATATATATATAATTTTTTATATATATAATTATATATATATATATATATATATATATATATATATATAATTTTTTAAAGAGCAAAACTCAAGAAAAACAAAGAACCTAACATTTTGTTGAAATTTTGTATTTTGAATTTTTTTCAATATTTTGCTTGAGTTTAATTTTATTATCTTTTTAAATATCTAAATATGTTTGGTGACTACATTATTATTTTAATAAATATATCTGTTTAATAAATCTGTTTTCTTTAAATGCACCAAAATATATATCCTATTTTCACTGAGAAATGGATAAAAATATCCATTTTCCAAATGTTACTCAGTTATGATGAACACTGTAAATTACAATACAAATGGCCTATCAGTTCTTTTTCTGTACCTATATATAGTGTTTATCATTCATCACATTGATCAAAAACAAATATCAATAAAATTCACTGTAGAGGTAGTTGTCGAAAAAAGAAATCAAGTTCTATAAATGCAAACAATAAAGGACAAATGCCAATTAACAGACATTGTATACATTGTTTTTCCCCTTTTATAATGAATTGCTTGCTTTTTTTATATTTTGATGAAAGTATCTGATAAATGATCGAGGAAAAACATGAAAGCAGTTTGGAATCGGAAGTGCATAAAAATGAAGAACTGAAGTGCCTGAATGTGTGTTTCTGAAAGTATGAAGAAACGCTCTGCACAGAACAGAAGGGCAGAAAGCTGCTCCATGCACAGAGTTGTAACATAAAACCCACACAAACACACAGGGAGGGGATCTGTCTTTAAAACAAAATTACCCACAACCCCCTGCACTCTTTTATCCAGCATATGAAAGGACTGGGCCAAATGAATGACAAAAAGAAGAGAATGGAAACTGGGGTCAGGTTGGCCCAGAGAGGAGGCCCAAACCAGCCCAACGATATAAAGAAACTTTCACAGCCACACACAGAGGAAGGTTTAATTATTTCTTTACTGGCTTGAACACATACACGCATACAACAACAACAACAAAAAAACACACATTACAGCACTCATATCCTCACCACACACGAATCACAGTGTTACAAATGTTCAAAAATTACAAACAAAAACGGACGCACAAACAAAAAGCTGAAATCAACACAACGAACACTCGCATCACTCATAAAACTTTTGTTTGCTGGAGACACAAAATAACTTGGTCCACAAAAAGACAAAGAAAGAAAAAAACAGCACTTTTACTCATTCATATACACCTATCCAGTCATTTAACCCCATGTCATAAATGTTATGACAAAGTTTGGGGTGAAACAACTATACATCGTGCAATTTCTTTTGTTACAATGATCTTACCATCACATGTATTATTCCCCTTTATTAACATCAGGAGGAGAGCACTTCAAATAAGAAAGTGCTCTGAGATATCAGCGTCTATATATCCATATATATACTATATATGTATACACATACACCCGATCACAGAGATAAACATCTTTGCAAACGTAATGTTATACAACAAGAAGAGACAATATAACCTGGAGCTTTTTTTTATACAATAGTATTTTTGTTGTGTTCCTTTTTTCTATTTAGAAAAAAATAAAATGTTGACCTGAAGTCAACGAATTAACAACAGTCATCATCAGTGCAATATTTTCAACAAGAGTAAAAATATCAAGTTTAAGACAAGCGATGCATATTTGTTCTGCCTATACCAATCGAACAGATGATCTTGAGAATGGTTTCACATCGGTTGCTTTCTCCAGGAGCTCCTGGCCGGCAAACCAGGTTGAGCGTCAGGGGCTGGAAACATCAGCAACGCCACTTAAAATATTGTAGCGTTGGTTTGTGCAAGACAGGATGAGTACAATCACACACGCTCACACAACTGCATGGGGCTTCTCGCAGAAAAATCTAACTGATATATTAGATGTCCTCGTCCACTCTCTCACTGTTGGCCATTGTATCAAGGAAAAACTTACATAAAAGCAGCATTGAAACAAACATCAGGTGCCATGACTCTTAAAAGCGGCAGGCAGTCTCTTTTTAAGCGAATCTGTCGATGTTTCCTGCAACGGAATAGTCTTTTTAAATGTTCACTTGTATAGTCCTGCTCAGTAGTAACTATTGGTAAGCCTCAGCTCCTGCAGTTACCCGACCAGGCACTAGGGGGCGTAAAAGGCTCCACGTTTATGTGCAACAAAACTCCCTGCATTTAATAGTCATGCAATGCATTTCACTTTTTGTCACTGCAGTTGAAACAAAAAAAGCTGTATGCAAAATTAAGCAAATAAAACCACATACAACGTCTCAACCATGCTTGGTGAACGAAAAGTCGGAATGACCAATGGATCTTATTTTGGTTCATGGAGATATATTTGTCCCGAGTGAAGATGTGGGGATGACATCAAGTAAAATAACCCAAATAGGGCCTAATGATACTGTTGACCAAAAAAATAAACATTAAAAACAGCACTAGTGGGTAACTGAGAAGAGTTAAAGAGAAGGCTTGAGACAGAGAGCATATGATTTTGTTGAATACTTTCAAGTCGAGGTAGCTGATGCAGAGAACCAGAATAAAAGTTAAAAAGGGCACGCGTTTTCCCAGGGGAGAAAAAAAAAAAAAAAATATATATATATATATATATATATATATATATATATATATATATATATATATATATATATATATATATATATATCTAGGTGTACACGTGGGGGGCCGAGGCGTGGAGTCTCCACGCGGGACAGTTTAGCCTGTAACGAGTCCGAAGCAGCTTTATGTCACCCTACATACTTTTACACTTAGGCTATAGTCTTAAAAAATAACCACAACATAATTTAAATGCATCATCTCAATGTACCTTCATAAATAAAAAGACAAACCCAGCCTGTATTCACAGTGATGACCAGGGTGTTAATTCAAAATACTGAAAGAAGATTACAAAGTGTGTCCCAAAGGCGACTTTCCTGACGTTTTGATACAAACAAAAATTAAAGAAATAAAAGAAAAGCGAAAGCAGCGATTTTTTTAGTAACACGTTAACCATATGGGTCGCACTGGCCTGAAAGCTGTGTGGAAGCTGCGGGTCTGCTAGGTGAAGGCAGAGCGCAATAGACTACTTATACAGAGAGACACGGTAAAGCTATGTGTACAGTACTTAAGAATAAGTCAATTGTTATTTCGAGGAAATATTTGAGCACTGGTCACCAATGCCACATGATTTGATTGATGAAACGACTTGCACGGTTCGTATTAAAAGACAGTGTTTAGCCAAAACAGAGGATGATGGCCTTCATTCTGGAGTTCACCTCTTTCAACTATTCCAGCATTCAGCCACAGCATCAAGTGCCATCTCGATTTCTCCAGGTGGACAGGTCAACAGGTCACGGCCTGGTAAAGCCACACACAGTCCAGATCTGCTGACTTAAACATTCAATAAAAAGCTATAGTACCAACGCAGCGTGCGTTTCAGTCTCTCTCTCGTCGCCAGATCTGACCACAGACAGATTGATATACATACTCACGGGAAAGAAAAAGGCTACAGCCCTCATTTGGTTTTAAGGGAACTTCTCCGCGGTCTGTCAGATCAATGCTAGAACGAAACGAGCCCGGTCTTTTCCGCGTGTTGCACCGGATCACCGCGCGCCGGACGAGTACTTGGCCTTGGTGATGAGGTATAACACGATGTCTTGGTGTCCCCCGAAAGCGGCGATGTGCAACGCGCTCCAGCCCTCCCGGTTGGCGAGCCGAATATCGGCTCCAAATTTAACCAGCAGTTTCACGAGCTCCAGGTTCCCGTCGATGACCGACTGGTGCAGCGCCGTCTGTCCCTCGGGGCCGAAGGAGTTGACGTTAAACTCGCAGTTGGTCATGTTCTGCAGCAGTGAGTGGAGCTCCTTGGTGTTGCCTTTTTTTACCGCCTCCTGGAAGACTCTCTGCGGCGCCGAGCACGTCGATATATCCGCCTGGCTCATGATGCTTCACACTGGGAGAAACTCGCAGCTTAACTGGACTAAAACCAGTTTAGGCGCGTGAGACTTGAATAAGACGAGAGTATATCCCAAAAAGGACAAGTAAACGACACACTTGGTGTGTAAAATGCAGTCTTGTATCCAAAAGACCTAGCAAGAAAGTTCAATCCTTCGCAAGGTGTAGGTCTCCGCGTGTAAGTGTGTGTGAATGTCTCTCAGTAGCAGCACCAGGTTTATGGCAGAATTGAGTGATTTAACGTGAGAAAGGTGGCGTGTGAACGTCGGTATCTCCGGTTAAGCGCATTGAGGGGCCGTTAGAGGTTTACAGACGTCTGAGGTGAATTTACCTCAGAAAACGCGTCTCTCGAGTCCCGCTGAGGTTTATTTGGCAAGGGTAACTGAAATAAACAAGATAAACTGTTAAAATTGCTGTCCTGGCTTGTCTTTCAAAAATAAACGAGTAAAGATGTACTTGCCTTTTGACGTTTGGACGGGTAGAAATGACTCCAGATAAAAACTGTCCGCTTGCCCGCTGCTATTTGTCCGTCGCGCGGTCCCGGTGATTCTCTGCCCAGGTCTGCGTTGCCAGGGGGATATTTTAGACGAACTACTTTGCATAACAATACGTCTCTATAGAATCAAGTGTTGTGGAATTGGAGGGGTTGGGCGACGCTGATTGGTTGAGGGGTTGGCTTGGGGGAGTGGCCATGCGCTGAAACCGAGAAATGGGCGTACTCCATTTCCCAAACATCGCACAGTAATAAAAGTACTGCATTATATTATGTGTTAATATGGTCATCATTACCAAAAGGAACACACTGAGATAATTTATTTACCTTAAAATATGACATAGCTTAAATTCACTGTTAACTACTTCATTATATGCACATGATAGTACTTTATTATATGCATCATTAACTAAAATACTGCTTTATAAGTTCACTATAAATTTGCTGTTTACTCAAAAACATATTTTTTTACTTTTTCAAACTACTTAATTAAAATGAGCTAAAACAACACAATTATTGAGATTTCATTGGGACAGCTTAATTTTTTATGTTTAAAGCGATAAGTTAACTTAATCGATTTGTGTTGGAACAACATGGGTGAATTGTGTGGAACCGTGCATTTTTTTACAGTGTTTATAGGTATATTTATCAGAATATATGAAGCACTGCTAATGCTTTAGAAATGGGCTTTTAATTTATTGCTTATGAATATTCACTGTTTGTGGATACTTTATTACTAATTATGAAGCACTGTTAACTAAAGTACTGCTTTATAACTTTTATTGTGGGTTTTTTACTGATATTCAACTAGTCTATTTTTTGTAATATGCAAAGACCAATGAAATCTAAAGAACCATTACACTAGAAAGTTTTCAAATTTGCTAATGTCAATAGTTTAAAGTTGGGTTGGGATGTTTTAACTGTGATTTTTTCGTCAAAAATAGCTTCTGCATTTAATTTGGCATTGTATTAGGTACAGCAGTTTTCATCATAAATGAAATTTCATTACAAATATTGACCCGAGCTGAGGATTATATCAGAGCTCAGATATACAGCCCTCCTTTAATATATAGCCTATATTTTATATCCCATTTGAACCATTAATTTGTTTACAGTTAACCTGGGCGATTCAAACAATATCAGCTAGTACACTTCCTACCTGTCCACGCCAAATGGTGATGGCATCTTTATTGGTGGTGCTTAAAAGCAACACGAAACACCTTTCTCTGACTCATTAGACTTTAGGGCTTGTGAAGCCGCCATTCCAGCTGTTTTAAGTCAATAACAAAGCCTGCACGACTTCCTGTGCGCGTCGACAGAGGTGTGCGTCGCGGTCGCGTACAAAACTACCGGCGTCGCGCAGGCGCTCTAAACTTAAAACCGAAGCGTCAGCTTGCTCTGTGCATGCGCGGACTAGAGTGACACACATAGCAGCTGTACCGTGGGAACCGGACGACTGCAGTTTCTGCCTTTCCTCACACGCCGCAGTTTGGCGTGGAAAGCCACACACACACATACACACGCGGTAGAGTGTGCAGCCGTTTGCTCCGTTTGTACAGAAGCTTCAAGCATTTGATCTGCCAAACAGTTTCGCATTCTAGCCGATTCGTGCGTTATAACCTGCACGTACTTTCTTGGCATATGTTTTGTTTCACACATTATTCTGGAATCAAGATATCATTTAACTTTCAGACTGACAAATGCAGGAAACTAGACCCATTCGAGCAACAAAAATAACTGCTTCGTTGTTATTTTACGATCAGAGAATAAAGAGAAATGTACGTATAGCTGTGTGTGTATAGGCATACGACAATAGACCACGTGGGAAAATTCCCTTTCCCTTGATTTATAATTTGGTTAATGTTTAAAGAAACGTAATTTTCTTCTTAAACAGCAAAAGTCAGTCCAAGGCACTCGAAAAACATGACTGATTTTTGCAATTTATTCTGATAAAACCCCTTACCCGAAGAGGATCGACACATTTATTTAAGCTACCCCTGAGCTTACCGCTGAGAAGATCTTCTGCAAACTACGGATCACAATGTTGAGCATATGACAATTGTTTTAAAAAGAAATGTTTAACCTCAGAAGTGTTAAGAAGTCAAAACTAGTGGGAATAACTGATATTTAAAATTAAATTTGACCAACTTCAGCCATTTTCTGAAAAAAAAAATAAAAGAAAATCAGAATAAAACAAATATTCACATTTTGTCAATTATATAGCCTATACCTAATAACAAATACCAAACACTTTATGACGACTTCCCTTGCTTTCAAATTAACTGCAATTTTGGTGAAAAATATAAAAAAAATATAAAAAACAGCAATATAAATAAATATTAAAAGTAGAAAGGGTGCATTTTCAGAAGTAGTGTTAGTGAGACCAGCAAGGGGCGCCCAGTCTGTGTGGGTCCTAATGCTCCAGTATAGTGACGGTGACTCTATACTGCTCAGTGAGAGGCGTCTTTCAGATGAGATGTTAAACTGAGGTCCTGACTCTCTGCGGTCATTAAAAATCCCAGGATGTCCTTCGAAAAAGAGTAGTGGATTAACCCTGGCATGGTGGGGGGGGGGGGGGGGGGTGGGGGGGGGGGGTCATTGCCCCCTCAGAAAGAATTTGTGCCCCCCCAGTTTTCATAAAGGATTGTTCACTCAAAACTGAAAATTCTTTCCGTCATTATTTACTAACACTCCTGTCATTCCAACCTTTAGAACACACATTTAAATATTTTAAAATATACGACAGCGATTAAATTATGAAAATTGTGAGATTAAAGCTAGTCCTAAAGTCCAGAGATCCAGTTCCCGCGTCAGGTCAGGTGCGCCCGTAAATAAAACGCGCACGTGGCGATGGAGGAGCACTCAACGCACAAGGGAGAAAAGTGGGTGACATGATACGAGCAGCTTAATTCATTACATGTTTTGGTTAACTATTCTTTAAACACAACACTGTGTGTTATCCGTGCCAAACTAATTTTCACGGTAATAACAGTGAAATTTGGTATCTTTTTATAGGTATTTTTCTGGCTACACTAATGCTTTAAAATGTAACTAAGTCATTGTTTTGAATTACATTAGATTGTAACATTTAGCTTTTCCCTAGCACTGATGTTGGTTGGATAATAGGCTACGTGAAGCGTGATGACTCGTTTAAGCTGATTTCACCATATTTATTTACTGGTTTCGAATAGTCTGATCATGGGTCAGCTTGCATGTGTAGGCATAATTTGACGTCTTTACCTAAAACTTTAAACATTCATATGACTGTTATTTGAAATAAAAAGGAAATAAATAAGAAGAATAACATATGATTTAAAGCACTCGTTTGGCACTAAAGCCATGATCCGTCTGCATTAATAAGCGGTATTGTTGCATTACCACCATTAATAAAATCAGTAATAGCGAAACTGTGCATATTATTACTATTAAAACGTATACTACTGCCTTAGGTCAGTAACAAAGTATAAAGTAATAATAAATGTGAATAAATAGCCTAAATGAAAGGAACAAGAGAGACCAAAATAAGCCACCAGGTCTAGTGCCCCCCTCAGTTCTGATATCCTGGCGCCGGGCCTGGATTCTGCACACTGGTGATGGATTAGATATTTCCCCCAATGTGTAAAGTCCTTTGAGTGTCCAGCTATATAAATGTAAGGAATTATTATTTTTAATACTATTATTATTATTTCAGGACTTGGGCCCTAGGGCTGGATTTGCTTAGGGCTCCAAAATAACTGAATGTGGCCCTGTATGCACATTATGCTTTAAATCCAACACACTATATGTATCAGGGTCTCATAGTTCAAGCTTTTTTCATACCACCTCCCAGTTATCCCAAAAATTAAAAACTGAGTATAAAGTTTCACCACTTTGGGAAATTCACTAATCCCGAGTCTCATGTTAACATTCTTTTTCTACATGAAACTCAAACCTCAAAAATAAACCATGTTGAACCAGACTTCATGAAAACACTGGGTTAACATGTGGAAATAATAACCTGTCCACATTATTAATTATTTGCAATACCTTATCCCAACACTTCCCCTCTCCCCTCTACAACATATATCCCTCTTTAATATCTCCAGCGGGGCAAGTGTGAATACTGAATTTCAGGCACTCACACCAGATTTCTGTGCGCACACAAATTATATTTCTGCTGGCGAAAGCATAAAGCTGTTTTCTTTCCCATAATTTGTGCACTTGTGAGGTATTTGACCATGTGTGAAACAGAAGGCTCGGGTGAAAATATCTCAGCACATCTGTTGGCTAATCAGAAAGATGTGTCCGTTCGCTGGTCTGTTGGAAAATATTTGTGGAGAAATCGTAGGGCCTCTTTTAGTGGCAGGTTATCTCTCGACCCGGGAGTTTGCGCAATTCCTGGAACTTAAATTTGTCTACAGTGGCCCCAAGATGTTTTGACACTCACTGTAAGCTATGCTAAGAATGTATACATACATATACATACACACACACACACACACACACACACACACACACACACACACACACACACACACACACACACACACACACACACACACATATATATATATATATATATAAAGTAAGTGACATTGATTTGGGAAAATAAATTTAAACCATAAAAAATATTGTGTGTGTATGTATATATATATATATATATATACATATATATATATATATATACATA